GGCCGTAAGCGATGACACAGGCTCCAAATGAGCTATTTGAACATGCTCCTGTGTGCTTCTCTCAATTAGAATCAGCATTTCACTTTCAGTGAACAATGCGGCGCTCAAGAAAACACCCGGATACGCAGTCAAGCTTAGTTTTACAGCCTATCTCTGCAGTCCATCATGCTCCACTCCTTTGCTCCACTTTAGGACAAGATCTCAGTCCTCCCGCTCTTTGTGCTTTTTGACTTTTTCTTTCATTTTATGTTCAGCCTAATCTCCAAGTGCACTTGCATTTGTCCAAGCAAAAGACCAGGCTCCCCAAAGACCGATATCCTAGCCTCTTGGAGAGAGAACACGGCAAAAAGATGCAAGAAAAGAAGAGAAAAGCTTACAGCACCTGGTATTCCCAGGCGGTCTCCCATCCAAGTACTAACCAGGCCCGACCCTGCTTAGCTTCCGAGATCGGACGAGATCGGGCGTGTTCAGGGTGGTATGGCCGTAAGCGATGACACAGGCTCCAAATGAGCTATTTGAACATGCTCCTGTGTGCTTCTCTCAATTAGAATCAGCATTTCACTTTCAGTGAACAATGCGGCGCTCAAGAAAACACCCGGATACGCAGTCAAGCTTAGTTTTACAGCCTATCTCTGCAGTCCATCATGCTCCACTCCTTTGCTCCACTTTAGGACAAGATCTCAGTCCTCCCGCTCTTTGTGCTTTTTGACTTTTTCTTTCATTTTATGTTCAGCCTAATCTCCAAGTGCACTTGCATTTGTCCAAGCAAAAGACCAGGCTCCCCAAAGACCGATATCCTAGCCTCTTGGAGAGAGAACACGGCAAAAAGATGCAAGAAAAGAAGAGAAAAGCTTACAGCACCTGGTATTCCCAGGCGGTCTCCCATCCAAGTACTAACCAGGCCCGACCCTGCTTAGCTTCCGAGATCGGACGAGATCGGGCGTGTTCAGGGTGGTATGGCCGTAAGCGATGACACAGGCTCCAAATGAGCTATTTGAACATGCTCCTGTGTGCTTCTCTCAATTAGAATCAGCATTTCACTTTCAGTGAACAATGCGGCGCTCAAGAAAACACCCGGATACGCAGTCAAGCTTAGTTTTACAGCCTATCTCTGCAGTCCATCATGCTCCACTCCTTTGCTCCACTTTAGGACAAGATCTCAGTCCTCCCGCTCTTTGTGCTTTTTGACTTTTTCTTTCATTTTATGTTCAGCCTAATCTCCAAGTGCACTTGCATTTGTCCAAGCAAAAGACCAGGCTCCCCAAAGACCGATATCCTAGCCTCTTGGAGAGAGAACACGGCAAAAAGATGCAAGAAAAGAAGAGAAAAGCTTACAGCACCTGGTATTCCCAGGCGGTCTCCCATCCAAGTACTAACCAGGCCCGACCCTGCTTAGCTTCCGAGATCGGACGAGATCGGGCGTGTTCAGGGTGGTATGGCCGTAAGCGATGACACAGGCTCCAAATGAGCTATTTGAACATGCTCCTGTGTGCTTCTCTCAATTAGAATCAGCATTTCACTTTCAGTGAACAATGCGGCGCTCAAGAAAACACCCGGATACGCAGTCAAGCTTAGTTTTACAGCCTATCTCTGCAGTCCATCATGCTCCACTCCTTTGCTCCACTTTAGGACAAGATCTCAGTCCTCCCGCTCTTTGTGCTTTTTGACTTTTTCTTTCATTTTATGTTCAGCCTAATCTCCAAGTGCACTTGCATTTGTCCAAGCAAAAGACCAGGCTCCCCAAAGACCGATATCCTAGCCTCTTGGAGAGAGAACACGGCAAAAAGATGCAAGAAAAGAAGAGAAAAGCTTACAGCACCTGGTATTCCCAGGCGGTCTCCCATCCAAGTACTAACCAGGCCCGACCCTGCTTAGCTTCCGAGATCGGACGAGATCGGGCGTGTTCAGGGTGGTATGGCCGTAAGCGATGACACAGGCTCCAAATGAGCTATTTGAACATGCTCCTGTGTGCTTCTCTCAATTAGAATCAGCATTTCACTTTCAGTGAACAATGCGGCGCTCAAGAAAACACCCGGATACGCAGTCAAGCTTAGTTTTACAGCCTATCTCTGCAGTCCATCATGCTCCACTCCTTTGCTCCACTTTAGGACAAGATCTCAGTCCTCCCGCTCTTTGTGCTTTTTGACTTTTTCTTTCATTTTATGTTCAGCCTAATCTCCAAGTGCACTTGCATTTGTCCAAGCAAAAGACCAGGCTCCCCAAAGACCGATATCCTAGCCTCTTGGAGAGAGAACACGGCAAAAAGATGCAAGAAAAGAAGAGAAAAGCTTACAGCACCTGGTATTCCCAGGCGGTCTCCCATCCAAGTACTAACCAGGCCCGACCCTGCTTAGCTTCCGAGATCGGACGAGATCGGGCGTGTTCAGGGTGGTATGGCCGTAAGCGATGACACAGGCTCCAAATGAGCTATTTGAACATGCTCCTGTGTGCTTCTCTCAATTAGAATCAGCATTTCACTTTCAGTGAACAATGCGGCGCTCAAGAAAACACCCGGATACGCAGTCAAGCTTAGTTTTACAGCCTATCTCTGCAGTCCATCATGCTCCACTCCTTTGCTCCACTTTAGGACAAGATCTCAGTCCTCCCGCTCTTTGTGCTTTTTGACTTTTTCTTTCATTTTATGTTCAGCCTAATCTCCAAGTGCACTTGCATTTGTCCAAGCAAAAGACCAGGCTCCCCAAAGACCGATATCCTAGCCTCTTGGAGAGAGAACACGGCAAAAAGATGCAAGAAAAGAAGAGAAAAGCTTACAGCACCTGGTATTCCCAGGCGGTCTCCCATCCAAGTACTAACCAGGCCCGACCCTGCTTAGCTTCCGAGATCGGACGAGATCGGGCGTGTTCAGGGTGGTATGGCCGTAAGCGATGACACAGGCTCCAAATGAGCTATTTGAACATGCTCCTGTGTGCTTCTCTCAATTAGAATCAGCATTTCACTTTCAGTGAACAATGCGGCGCTCAAGAAAACACCCGGATACGCAGTCAAGCTTAGTTTTACAGCCTATCTCTGCAGTCCATCATGCTCCACTCCTTTGCTCCACTTTAGGACAAGATCTCAGTCCTCCCGCTCTTTGTGCTTTTTGACTTTTTCTTTCATTTTATGTTCAGCCTAATCTCCAAGTGCACTTGCATTTGTCCAAGCAAAAGACCAGGCTCCCCAAAGACCGATATCCTAGCCTCTTGGAGAGAGAACACGGCAAAAAGATGCAAGAAAAGAAGAGAAAAGCTTACAGCACCTGGTATTCCCAGGCGGTCTCCCATCCAAGTACTAACCAGGCCCGACCCTGCTTAGCTTCCGAGATCGGACGAGATCGGGCGTGTTCAGGGTGGTATGGCCGTAAGCGATGACACAGGCTCCAAATGAGCTATTTGAACATGCTCCTGTGTGCTTCTCTCAATTAGAATCAGCATTTCACTTTCAGTGAACAATGCGGCGCTCAAGAAAACACCCGGATACGCAGTCAAGCTTAGTTTTACAGCCTATCTCTGCAGTCCATCATGCTCCACTCCTTTGCTCCACTTTAGGACAAGATCTCAGTCCTCCCGCTCTTTGTGCTTTTTGACTTTTTCTTTCATTTTATGTTCAGCCTAATCTCCAAGTGCACTTGCATTTGTCCAAGCAAAAGACCAGGCTCCCCAAAGACCGATATCCTAGCCTCTTGGAGAGAGAACACGGCAAAAAGATGCAAGAAAAGAAGAGAAAAGCTTACAGCACCTGGTATTCCCAGGCGGTCTCCCATCCAAGTACTAACCAGGCCCGACCCTGCTTAGCTTCCGAGATCGGACGAGATCGGGCGTGTTCAGGGTGGTATGGCCGTAAGCGATGACACAGGCTCCAAATGAGCTATTTGAACATGCTCCTGTGTGCTTCTCTCAATTAGAATCAGCATTTCACTTTCAGTGAACAATGCGGCGCTCAAGAAAACACCCGGATACGCAGTCAAGCTTAGTTTTACAGCCTATCTCTGCAGTCCATCATGCTCCACTCCTTTGCTCCACTTTAGGACAAGATCTCAGTCCTCCCGCTCTTTGTGCTTTTTGACTTTTTCTTTCATTTTATGTTCAGCCTAATCTCCAAGTGCACTTGCATTTGTCCAAGCAAAAGACCAGGCTCCCCAAAGACCGATATCCTAGCCTCTTGGAGAGAGAACACGGCAAAAAGATGCAAGAAAAGAAGAGAAAAGCTTACAGCACCTGGTATTCCCAGGCGGTCTCCCATCCAAGTACTAACCAGGCCCGACCCTGCTTAGCTTCCGAGATCGGACGAGATCGGGCGTGTTCAGGGTGGTATGGCCGTAAGCGATGACACAGGCTCCAAATGAGCTATTTGAACATGCTCCTGTGTGCTTCTCTCAATTAGAATCAGCATTTCACTTTCAGTGAACAATGCGGCGCTCAAGAAAACACCCGGATACGCAGTCAAGCTTAGTTTTACAGCCTATCTCTGCAGTCCATCATGCTCCACTCCTTTGCTCCACTTTAGGACAAGATCTCAGTCCTCCCGCTCTTTGTGCTTTTTGACTTTTTCTTTCATTTTATGTTCAGCCTAATCTCCAAGTGCACTTGCATTTGTCCAAGCAAAAGACCAGGCTCCCCAAAGACCGATATCCTAGCCTCTTGGAGAGAGAACACGGCAAAAAGATGCAAGAAAAGAAGAGAAAAGCTTACAGCACCTGGTATTCCCAGGCGGTCTCCCATCCAAGTACTAACCAGGCCCGACCCTGCTTAGCTTCCGAGATCGGACGAGATCGGGCGTGTTCAGGGTGGTATGGCCGTAAGCGATGACACAGGCTCCAAATGAGCTATTTGAACATGCTCCTGTGTGCTTCTCTCAATTAGAATCAGCATTTCACTTTCAGTGAACAATGCGGCGCTCAAGAAAACACCCGGATACGCAGTCAAGCTTAGTTTTACAGCCTATCTCTGCAGTCCATCATGCTCCACTCCTTTGCTCCACTTTAGGACAAGATCTCAGTCCTCCCGCTCTTTGTGCTTTTTGACTTTTTCTTTCATTTTATGTTCAGCCTAATCTCCAAGTGCACTTGCATTTGTCCAAGCAAAAGACCAGGCTCCCCAAAGACCGATATCCTAGCCTCTTGGAGAGAGAACACGGCAAAAAGATGCAAGAAAAGAAGAGAAAAGCTTACAGCACCTGGTATTCCCAGGCGGTCTCCCATCCAAGTACTAACCAGGCCCGACCCTGCTTAGCTTCCGAGATCGGACGAGATCGGGCGTGTTCAGGGTGGTATGGCCGTAAGCGATGACACAGGCTCCAAATGAGCTATTTGAACATGCTCCTGTGTGCTTCTCTCAATTAGAATCAGCATTTCACTTTCAGTGAACAATGCGGCGCTCAAGAAAACACCCGGATACGCAGTCAAGCTTAGTTTTACAGCCTATCTCTGCAGTCCATCATGCTCCACTCCTTTGCTCCACTTTAGGACAAGATCTCAGTCCTCCCGCTCTTTGTGCTTTTTGACTTTTTCTTTCATTTTATGTTCAGCCTAATCTCCAAGTGCACTTGCATTTGTCCAAGCAAAAGACCAGGCTCCCCAAAGACCGATATCCTAGCCTCTTGGAGAGAGAACACGGCAAAAAGATGCAAGAAAAGCTTACAGCACCTGGTATTCCCAGGCGGTCTCCCATCCAAGTACTAACCAGGCCCGACCCTGCTTAGCTTCCGAGATCGGACGAGATCGGGCGTGTTCAGGGTGGTATGGCCGTAAGCGATGACACAGGCTCCAAATGAGCTATTTGAACATGCTCCTGTGTGCTTCTCTCAATTAGAATCAGCATTTCACTTTCAGTGAACAATGCGGCGCTCAAGAAAACACCCGGATACGCAGTCAAGCTTAGTTTTACAGCCTATCTCTGCAGTCCATCATGCTCCACTCCTTTGCTCCACTTTAGGACAAGATCTCAGTCCTCCCGCTCTTTGTGCTTTTTGACTTTTTCTTTCATTTTATGTTCAGCCTAATCTCCAAGTGCACTTGCATTTGTCCAAGCAAAAGACCAGGCTCCCCAAAGACCGATATCCTAGCCTCTTGGAGAGAGAACACGGCAAAAAGACGCAAGAAAAGAAGAGAAAAGCTTACAGCACCTGGTATTCCCAGGCGGTCTCCCATCCAAGTACTAACCAGGCCCGACCCTGCTTAGCTTCCGAGATCGGACGAGATCGGGCGTGTTCAGGGTGGTATGGCCGTAAGCGATGACACAGGCTCCAAATGAGCTATTTGAACATGCTCCTGTGTGCTTCTCTCAATTAGAATCAGCATTTCACTTTCAGTGAACAATGCGGCGCTCAAGAAAACACCCGGATACGCAGTCAAGCTTAGTTTTACAGCCTATCTCTGCAGTCCATCATGCTCCACTCCTTTGCTCCACTTTAGGACAAGATCTCAGTCCTCCCGCTCTTTGTGCTTTTTGACTTTTTCTTTCATTTTATGTTCAGCCTAATCTCCAAGTGCACTTGCATTTGTCCAAGCAAAAGACCAGGCTCCCCAAAGACCGATATCCTAGCCTCTTGGAGAGAGAACACGGCAAAAAGATGCAAGAAAAGAAGAGAAAAGCTTACAGCACCTGGTATTCCCAGGCGGTCTCCCATCCAAGTACTAACCAGGCCCGACCCTGCTTAGCTTCCGAGATCGGACGAGATCGGGCGTGTTCAGGGTGGTATGGCCGTAAGCGATGACACAGGCTCCAAATGAGCTATTTGAACATGCTCCTGTGTGCTTCTCTCAATTAGAATCAGCATTTCACTTTCAGTGAACAATGCGGCGCTCAAGAAAACACCCGGATACGCAGTCAAGCTTAGTTTTACAGCCTATCTCTGCAGTCCATCATGCTCCACTCCTTTGCTCCACTTTAGGACAAGATCTCAGTCCTCCCGCTCTTTGTGCTTTTTGACTTTTTCTTTCATTTTATGTTCAGCCTAATCTCCAAGTGCACTTGCATTTGTCCAAGCAAAAGACCAGGCTCCCCAAAGACCGATATCCTAGCCTCTTGGAGAGAGAACACGGCAAAAAGATGCAAGAAAAGAAGAGAAAAGCTTACAGCACCTGGTATTCCCAGGCGGTCTCCCATCCAAGTACTAACCAGGCCCGACCCTGCTTAGCTTCCGAGATCGGACGAGATCGGGCGTGTTCAGGGTGGTATGGCCGTAAGCGATGACACAGGCTCCAAATGAGCTATTTGAACATGCTCCTGTGTGCTTCTCTCAATTAGAATCAGCATTTCACTTTCAGTGAACAATGCGGCGCTCAAGAAAACACCCGGATACGCAGTCAAGCTTAGTTTTACAGCCTATCTCTGCAGTCCATCATGCTCCACTCCTTTGCTCCACTTTAGGACAAGATCTCAGTCCTCCCGCTCTTTGTGCTTTTTGACTTTTTCTTTCATTTTATGTTCAGCCTAATCTCCAAGTGCACTTGCATTTGTCCAAGCAAAAGACCAGGCTCCCCAAAGACCGATATCCTAGCCTCTTGGAGAGAGAACACGGCAAAAAGATGCAAGAAAAGAAGAGAAAAGCTTACAGCACCTGGTATTCCCAGGCGGTCTCCCATCCAAGTACTAACCAGGCCCGACCCTGCTTAGCTTCCGAGATCGGACGAGATCGGGCGTGTTCAGGGTGGTATGGCCGTAAGCGATGACACAGGCTCCAAATGAGCTATTTGAACATGCTCCTGTGTGCTTCTCTCAATTAGAATCAGCATTTCACTTTCAGTGAACAATGCGGCGCTCAAGAAAACACCCGGATACGCAGTCAAGCTTAGTTTTACAGCCTATCTCTGCAGTCCATCATGCTCCACTCCTTTGCTCTTTGTGCTTTTCGACTTTTTCTTTCATTTTATGTTCAGCCTAATCTCCAAGTGCACTTGCATTTGTCCAAGCAAAAGACCAGGCTCCCCAAAGACCGATATCCTAGCCTCTTGGAGAGAGAACACGGCAAAAAGATGCAAGAAAAGAAGAGAAAAGCTTACAGCACCTGGTATTCCCAGGCGGTCTCCCATCCAAGTACTAACCAGGCCCGACCCTGCTTAGCTTCCGAGATCGGACGAGATCGGGCGTGTTCAGGGTGGTATGGCCGTAAGCGATGACACAGGCTCCAAATGAGCTATTTGAACATGCTCCTGTGTGCTTCTCTCAATTAGAATCAGCATTTCACTTTCAGTGAACAATGCGGCGCTCAAGAAAACACCCGGATACGCAGTCAAGCTTAGTTTTACAGCCTATCTCTGCAGTCCATCATGCTCCACTCCTTTGCTCCACTTTAGGACAAGATCTCAGTCCTCCCGCTCTTTGTGCTTTTTGACTTTTTCTTTCATTTTATGTTCAGCCTAATCTCCAAGTGCACTTGCATTTGTCCAAGCAAAAGACCAGGCTCCCCAAAGACCGATATCCTAGCCTCTTGGAGAGAGAACACGGCAAAAAGATGCAAGAAAAGAAGAGAAAAGCTTACAGCACCTGGTATTCCCAGGCGGTCTCCCATCCAAGTACTAACCAGGCCCGACCCTGCTTAGCTTCCGAGATCGGACGAGGTCGGGCGTGTTCAGGGTGGTATGGCCGTAAGCGATGACACAGGCTCCAAATGAGCTATTTGAACATGCTCCTGTGTGCTTCTCTCAATTAGAATCAGCATTTCACTTTCAGTGAACAATGCGGCGCTCAAGAAAACACCCGGATACGCAGTCAAGCTTAGTTTTGCAGCCTATCTCTGCAGTCCATCATGCTCCACTCCTTTGCTCCACTTTAGGACAAGATCTCAGTCCTCCCGCTCTTTGTGCTTTTTGACTTTTTCTTTCATTTTATGTTCAGCCTAATCTCCAAGTGCACTTGCATTTGTCCAAGCAAAAGACCAGGCTCCCCAAAGACCGATATCCTAGCCTCTTGGAGAGAGAACACGGCAAAAAGATGCAAGAAAAGAAGAGAAAAGCTTACAGCACCTGGTATTCCCAGGCGGTCTCCCATCCAAGTACTAACCAGGCCCGACCCTGCTTAGCTTCCGAGATCGGACGAGGTCGGGCGTGTTCAGGGTGGTATGGCCGTAAGCGATGACACAGGCTCCAAATGAGCTATTTGAACATGCTCCTGTGTGCTTCTCTCAATTAGAATCAGCATTTCACTTTCAGTGAACAATGCGGCGCTCAAGAAAACACCCGGATACGCAGTCAAGCTTAGTTTTACAGCCTATCTCTGCAGTCCATCATGCTCCACTCCTTTGCTCCACTTTAGGACAAGATCTCAGTCCTCCCGCTCTTTGTGCTTTTCGACTTTTTCTTTCATTTTATGTTCAGCCTAATCTCCAAGTGCACTTGCATTTGTCCAAGCAAAAGACCAGGCTCCCCAAAGACCGATATCCTAGCCTCTTGGAGAGAGAACACGGCAAAAAGATGCAAGAAAAGAAGAGAAAAGCTTACAGCACCTGGTATTCCCAGGCGGTCTCCCATCCAAGTACTAACCAGGCCCGACCCTGCTTAGCTTCCGAGATCGGACGAGATCGGGCGTGTTCAGGGTGGTATGGCCGTAAGCGATGACACAGGCTCCAAATGAGCTATTTGAACATGCTCCTGTGTGCTTCTCTCAATTAGAATCAGCATTTCACTTTCAGTGAACAATGCGGCGCTCAAGAAAACACCCGGATACGCAGTCAAGCTTAGTTTTACAGCCTATCTCTGCAGTCCATCATGCTCCACTCCTTTGCTCCACTTTAGGACAAGATCTCAGTCCTCCCGCTCTTTGTGCTTTTTGACTTTTTCTTTCATTTTATGTTCAGCCTAATCTCCAAGTGCACTTGCATTTGTCCAAGCAAAAGACCAGGCTCCCCAAAGACCGATATCCTAGCCTCTTGGAGAGAGAACACGGCAAAAAGATGCAAGAAAAGAAGAGAAAAGCTTACAGCACCTGGTATTCCCAGGCGGTCTCCCATCCAAGTACTAACCAGGCCCGACCCTGCTTAGCTTCCGAGATCGGACGAGATCGGG